ACCTTATTTTATATGTAGTTTAATTTTAATTAGGAACTATCATTTTTTTCTCTTCTCTCTGCTCTTGCTTCATATTTTTGAAATGTCACATCTGGTAATGGTACATATAAATCCCCGCACCAAAAATGTATGCAAATTTACAGGACTAACCTGCCTCACACAGAAAATTTTCATGGAAATTAGGTCACAGATACAGCCAGCTTTAGGAGCTTTGAAGGCATTCTGAGGTATAAACTAAGGAAACATTGAGGCCAATCTCAAATAAGTAAGCTATTGCAAAACTCCCCTTAGAAAATAAAAGCTGATTCCACTATAAATAAATTTAAACCTGATCAGAAGATCCACAGAATATGTTTAATCTGTGTGAACTATAAATATAAGAAGGCACTTATACCTTCATGTCCTAACTGTTGCTAGGGTTTGTGCAGCTAGATCAGTAGCAAAGTTTAGATGTTTTAAATGCAAGGTAATTTTGCATGTGTTTTTAATGTATCAATCCACTTCTAACTTTCATTTAGATATCTGTTAAATATGTCTTACCATCTCAGAAATGGTTTTCTCCCCACAACAATTTTCAATCTTTTGTTATTCTCTAGGTGGTTGAATTTTCTTTTGAATTTCTCTTGATAGTGTTTGTCAATACTGGTGTCAGAGGGTGATATTACTTGTGGTTTTCTGATGTTTCTTTCATTTCCCATTTTGGAAAAACAAAACAAAAATGGGTCAAAGGGTCAAAGATGACTCGCTTTATATTACCTGCATCAACTTCCAGCTTGCAGTTTGCCAAACAGAAACGGGAAGATGATTACATTCCTAGGGAGGAGGGAGAGCTAAGGAATTATGAGAGCCGCCTTCTGCCAGAGAGGAGCTACCCACCAAGGCCAAATTCTTGGAGCTACCAGCTAGAGCAGACTGTTTTCCCAAAACAAAAGTACTGAAGGTGGACAATGAACAGTGGCAGTGGTGGGATTCAAATTTTTTTACTACTGGTTCTGTGGGTGTGGCTAATTTGGTGGGTGTGGCTTGGTGGTCATGTGACTGGGTGGGCATGCTTGGTGGTCATGTGACTGGGTGGGCAAGGCCAACTCGACATCAGTCATGTCAAGGGGCATTTCGCCCAGTCCCTCCCCTCTCAGCCACTCCTTGTTACCCCCAGTCTCAATGTATCTATAGTTCTGTAAAAAAATTCACCTTTTTTTGACTTTATTTTCTGCATCCACATACTATAGATGTATTTTTATGGGCCACTGAAAGGAGGAAATAGCTCACATGCTTTGCCCAAGAGTGTGATAGGCAGGTCACAAAACAGGGTTTTGAGTGGTTGCCACAAAGAAGGGGGGCAATGTATTTTCCAAAGCGGAGAAGGCAAAACAAGAAGCAATGGATCAAAACTGAACAAAGAAGAAGCAACCTAAAACTAAGGAGAAATTTCCTGACAGTGAGAACAATTAAACAGTGGAACTGCTTGTCTCCAGAAATTCTGGATGCTCCAGCACTGGAGGTTTTCAAGAAGAGACTGGACAGCCATTTCTCTGAAATGGTATATAGGGCAGGGCTCTCCAACCTTGTCAACTTTAAGACTTGTAGACTTCAACTCCCAAAATTCTGGGAGGAATTCTGGGAGTTGAAGTCCAGAAGTCTTAAAGTTGCTAAGGTTGGAGACCCCTGGTATAGGGTCCTCTTCAAAGGTTATTCTGACACTTTTACCTGGCCGTCCACTCAGACTTGATATCCTCAGTTTTCCTGCCTGAGCAAAGGATTGGATTAGAAGACCTCCAAAGTCCCTTTCAGCTCTGTTATTCCATTATTCCTAAATTAAATAGGTAAGACCCTCATTGGGACCCTATCTCTTTTGCTCCCTCTGGTCTAATGGGTTAATACGGTTTTTTGGAAACTTGCAGTTGAAAGCGCCTTATGTCTCCTTACCCTGAAGACCCAATTTCATTTGGAATTTAATCCCAAACTGATTGCACTTTTAATATTTCTCTTGACACTTCTCAAATATGCACCCCCAAGAAGCCATATGTCTCCCCACTCCACACACACATATGAGAGGTTGGATTGGATATCTCCCTCCCTCCCCCTCTGCTTTAGGCTTAGAAAATCTGCCAGTGCTGCTCTTCATTTGGCAATGCTTAAGGAGAATTAGGGGCTAGAGACAGTTGACATTCTCATCTCTGCTACAGGTGAGGCTGTCAGAAAGACATTTTGGTAAGCACGCAATGCCTTCTCCTCAGCCTCTCAGCACTAATGAGAGATGCGGCTCTACTGGCCAGGGTAGGCAAAGCCTTTCATTTTGTACAAACCATCTGCTACTGGCAGATACACACTTATGGGTGGTGTGGGTGTGTCCATTCAGGGCACGGAAGTTCTGCTGCTAGCCTGGCAGTCACAGGGCTGTTGTTTTTTTTAATAATAATTTCCACTAAGGGAAGCTACCAAAATGGGAATTGTGCCTCTGCCTGTATAACTAGAGGGAGACTCTCCACCCCGCAAAAGCCAATGGTTTGAAAGCAGCTCCTCTGCTACCAGTCCCCCATTCCCCTGCTGCCTTCTCCATAGGGGGAATTGCAAATGTGGCATGCCATTTGAGTGGGAAATGCCTGAAACACAATAAAGGCCACTGGTAGCCGGCTAATGGGGTGAGAGGAGAGGCGGAGAAGGGGAGCTGATCGGAGCCTTCCGAAAGAAGAGGGGTGAAAGAAAGTGCAGTTTGCTACGGATGCCCTCCCTCGCCCCTTTGCCTGGATTCCCTCCTGCGGTCTCCTCAGTGCTTCCCCTCCCCAGTCTATCTTGATTGCAGGCAGAGCCACATTGCCTTTTGCAAGCCTGCTGTCGGTGAAGCTGGGTGCCAGTTAGGGCTGGCTTTTTGCATAGCTTTGTCCAACTATCGAGGGGGAGAGAGTGGCTTCCTCCCCAGGCCCCCGTCTGTTTTCTCCCCGACAGCTGGATAAAGCTAAGCAAAAAGACAGCCCTCACCGGCACCCAGCTTTACCAACAGTGGGCTTGGAAAGGGCAATGTGGCTCCACCTGCAATCAAGATAGATTGGGGAGGGAGAGAGCGTGAGTGAGCCAAGGCCTTTCCCTCCAGCCTTTGCCCAAAGTCCCTTGCCACACCAGGAGGTTGAAGTTTGAATTTCTTCACCCCATCCTACCCACGCGTACCTTGGCAACGGGAGTTTCTCTCCACCCCCTTTTCCAGCTACTAGACCAGGGAGGTGAACCTAGCTTTGCTGCCCATTGCATAGCAAATAGGAATCTAAAATCCGAGAAAGAAAGACAAGTTGCGCTTTGCTTCTGCACAGTAAGGCTGTCACTACTGCTCACCTGCGCCGCCCCCAGCATATTGATACCACAGCACCATTATCTTTAGGGAGCTGCAGTCTCAAAGATTGTGCGGCAAGAGAAAAGGCAGCCATGTGTGTTGCCGCTGCCATTCCAGAGGGCTACCTTGGGAATGAGGGGGAATAAAGAGGCCAGCTGGCACGCAAAGATTTACTTACTTGCTTTGTTGTCCCACTTCCGCTGCCTTTTCTCAGCTTTCCTCATCTTGCAACCAGCTTTCTCATTTAGGGAGCCGCTCCTGACAAAAAAAAAGGCCAACTAAAGATCACGACTGCCTGCCGAGTCTGCCTGCTGAATGGGTTTTGTTTTGGGGTAGTTTTTGTTTTGTTTTTTTGCCAGAAGCCCCTCGGAGATAAATTTGCTCCACCAAATCTTTCTGTACCTCATTGTTGTGGTGCAGCCTGTTGCTGCTGTGGGCGCTGCTGCAGCCATCTAGCTACCCAAGTAAAGAAACACACCAGCTCAGGGCAACTCTGAGGAGGAAGAGGGGAAGCCAAGGCACTAACCTCATAGCAGTCAACTTTGCTCTCGCTCTGGTTAGGCGCTCCCAGCGTGCACAAGGAGCATGAAGGGAGGCAGCCGGCACATAGAACAGGGCAGCGTTGGACCATTGGAGAAGTGGAGCGAAGCTGGAGATCAGTAGCCATCTCTTTTGCAGCATGGAAATCCTCCCCGAATCGGGCGGCTGGTCATCTCCTTCTCTGCCTATTTGTTCTGTATGGCCAAGGAGGAGACCAGCCGGCCGATTTGGGGAGGATTTCCATACTGCAAAAGAGGTGGCTACTGATCTCCGGCTTCGCTCCACTACTCCAATGGTCTGGCACCACCCTGTTCTATGCACTGGCTGCTCGAACTTGCCAGGACTGGCACAGAGAACAGGGTGTGCTGCTGACAAGGGTGGGCAAGAAGCCCCAGGATATCCACCCACCCACCTGCTGGCTGGGCCAGGCTGGAAGAGGCACTTCCACCAGGAGAAGGAAGAAAACATCCCCCGGGAGGGCGGCAGGTGGGCAAATGTCCCAGGGCTGCTGCACATGCACACTGCATGTGTAGCAGCTGCACATGCAGTGCGCATGTGCAGCAACCCTGGGACATCCACCCAAGCTGCCATGGCTGCCACTGGTAGGAAAAGCTAGGAGAGTGACCAGGGCAAGTGGGTGATCGGGTGACCGGGTTGGGGGCGTGGCGAGCCAGGAGTCGCCACCGGTTTGGCAACCCATGCCAAATCACCGCTTCCGGTTCACCTGAACTGGTGTGAACCAGTTGAATACCACCTCTGAACTGTGGGTGGCCCAGGGGTGAAAATGGGCTTTTACCTATGTGGTTATATATGTTGAATTCCAATATTGCATGATCACTCTCCCTGAAGATTCCTGTAGCTGCAACGCTATCTATCATTTCATCTCTGTTATCCAAAGAGATGGCTTGAATTCAGAATGTCTTTTCTTAAATTAGATAAATTCTATTTTATGTTTCAGAAAAACCCCAGGTTAGTCAAACCAGTTATATGCATTATTGTGTTTGCAATCTCCTAGGAGTCTTTCTATAGAGTTTTGCCTTATACATAGTGATATTTTAAATGTAATTTTCCTTTTCAAAAATTATACTGTATTTTGAAATAAAACTTTTTCTTCTTTTCATCATCTATTTTACAGGACAGATTCTCCAAGTATTAGATCAATGGAACTTAAGCAAGCATACTCTTGTATATTTCACTTCAGATCATGGAGCACATCTTGAAGAAATATCAGACAATGGAGAAGTCCATGGTGGTCATAATGGAATATTTAAGGGTAGGAGCCAGCTTTTTACTATTCACAAATTCTGTTCAATCGTCCTCATAGTTAAAATAACCTACCTGCCTTGTTTTAAAAAAGTGGATATATATTTAGAAAACAGCTATGAATACAGTTCTTTTGTTGGGACATTTTAGTCATATCAATAGGGCCAGGTGTGTCATTAGATATAAGGAACAGCAAGAAATAGTGTTGTGATCAAACATGCCATTTTCTCTGATATGCAAACAATGGTGTACATAGTTGAGGGAAGTAAATAAAAATAGCAATGCAACAAATTTTGTGTTTTGAAAAAAGCATTTTTGTACATGAGTTCATGTCACACACATGCACAAAAAAGGTAAGGTTTGCATCAAACTTCCATCTTCACCATTTATTTACTTTTCATTTTTTAAAAATTTCCCTTTTCCCCATGAATATCACTGAATGCAATCCATTTTTATTCCTTGTCCATTTGTGACTCATGTTCTTTGCCCAACAAAGCAAAATACCTTCGATTTTCCATGCATATATGCATAAATGTTAAAACTCCTAATGAATAGGTTTATACAATAATTTTGTCATATTGCCCATTTGATCTTTCTCTGTGTGTTTGTGTGCCAAAGTTTGTGTGTGTATCTTTGAGTGCCAAAGTCCCTTTTTGACTTTGATAACTGCCTGTAGTAGACCCTGCAGATTTCTTGGCAAGATTTTTGGAAGAGATTTGTCATTGCCTTCTTCTGAGGACTGAAAGTGAGTTATTGGCTCAAGGTCATTAAGTTGGATTTGTGTCTAAGATCAGAATAGAACTCATAGTCTCCCAGTTTCTAGCTTTATGCCATAACCAATACAACCATTATTCATTTTATCTAACACTTATAAAACTTAAATTCAACAGAATAGAATAGAATAGAATAGAATAGAATAGAATAGAATAGAATAGAATAGAAT